ACTGCTCTGCAATCACAGAGGATAAACTGACCATGGAGACTAGGGAAATGACTGTATGTATGGCCATGTTCATAAACATCAGCGACTAAAAATCCACACCCCATCAAAAGTCCTGAAGTTAGCATGGAGCTGTTAAAATCCTGTGCTTTCTGCCTCCTGAGGTTTTTGGACTGCATTGGCTTCCTATGTTCAAACTTTTCTCTGAAACCTTAAGAACTGGGAAAATGTGCATATAAATAGTTTGGTATTTCATCTAGCGGAACTTCAATAGAATTATTAAATATAGGAGCTGACAACACTGAAAAGGTAAGTCTAATTTAAGCAATGATTGAAAATCTTACTAAGCATAAGTATCTAATCTGTGAAAATGATGCTATCCCTGTAAGCAGAATAATGGCTTTTTATCCTTGATCTTAGAAAGGACAGACAGCAAAAAATGTGTCATAACTGCAAAGGGTTCTGGATCAAGAATGATCATATCTGAAAAAGCTATTTCTAAGATTGTTACAAAGTTGTTTCTTGTAAAATAAAAAGATAGTAAGAATTGTGTTTCTTTTTAAATTATGGTGGAAACTCTGTCTAAAGTGGTGTTCCCCATATACTATAGAGGCATCTGAGCATGTTGCTCTATGGTAATGTAAGAAATACTTACTGACAATATGCAATTCAAAAGTCACTTATTTTCACTGCCTCCATCAAATTAAATGGTAACAGTAAAGAATAGATGAGAGCTGGGAGAGGATATCCCTTTACAAGCATTAAAGTTTATTTCTGTCTTACTATTCTGTCCAGCTACATGAGGTAACATAATAGTCAGAGGTAAGACACTTCAGAATAAGCAGTTCCAAAGAAAATCAGGAAGCTGAACCACTGGAAGGATGATTTGTTTCCAGGTGTGAGTATAAACCAGATATAAACAGAAGTGGTTCACCAAAGCTGAGCCTATGCTCCAAAGCACCCACAGCAGAAGAAAATAACCTTGCAAAAGAAAAGGGTGCTGTAAGTTGCTGGCGGTTGTTTGTAAAGCCATGCAAACACCAAGAGACTGTCAGGGAAGCCCTCTCCAGTCTAGATGTGGAGGTGGGGATGGTCTAAGTTGAGCAGTATGCAGGGTAAGGAAAGGTGGGGGCCCCTAACCCTTTTCTTATCCATTAATAAAACTAGTTAACAGCATGTTGTAGGGTTTGTTGGGGTTTTTTTAAGAAGCTGTTTTGAGTCATTTTACTCAGGAGGTGACAGGCCCCCAAGGAAGGGTTTGCAGGTGCCAAGCAGAGGTGGGCCCATACAGTCCCCATGACTGGGACTAGAGAGGTCCCGTCCAGGGACTAGTCTGAAAACGGAGTATTCCCGGGCAAAGCACGCAGGTGATTTCCCCGAGGTAAGCAGTTCATCCCGCCACCTAACAGTCTACTTGGGGGACGATGAGGGATTCAGGGGACACCCCAGAGTGCAGCTATGATGATATAATAGTAAGAGGGGGAGACCGAGTCTAAAATAAGAGGCGTAAGTGTATGCGGGGAGGAGTGCAGGCAGTGGCCTGCCACTTGCGAAATGGGATCATGGAGGCGGTAGCAGAGATCATAGATGCAAGTCATCTTTGAATCTGAGAAACAAGAGAATTGAACAATGCAAAATCTGTATTTTTGAATGCTTCACTGTTAATAACTTGAGTTATGATGATGGTAAACCAGGCCAGGAAAGAGCCTTGAAGGCATTAGCTCTGATTATCATTTGGTACAGTTGTTTGACTGCAGCAGAACTCATTTGAACCAAGCCAGCTCCTGGCCTGTGCAGCTTCGATTCATGCTTTCCTACTGGGGGTCCCAGAACTCACATTGGCATTTGTTTCTCTTTTTCCGCACCCCCCCCTCCTTATGTGCTTCCATCACAGGTCCAAAAAGTTGCTGTCATAAGAATTACTGAAACTAAAAAAAATAGTGCTTTGTACCAGCTGAAAGCTATGCAGCCTTGAGTCATGTGGAGGGTAAAAAGCAATCTGTCTTAAAGATCAGTGTGTTTAAACCACTGAAACCCACATTTGACCTTAGAATTGGGCGGAGAGGGATGTTTATCATAATATCGGGATTTAAAACCTAATTCCTTCTAGCCTTGTATAATGTACACAGCATTTCACAAATCAGTACAAGCGTGGCGGGGAAGGCTTGTGAATTACCAGAAGAGCTGAGATGTTAAGCACAGATTGCTGCTTTGGGCAATGATATTTATTTATCTGAATAAACATTTCCCTTTTCACTGGAAAAAAGTTGGAAAGGATATAGAGAGAGCATGCCAGAATTACACACAGGGCAATTATATCTAATCTTTGTTACATTAACAGCTAAGCATTGGCTTCCTTTTTATTTCTTCAGATTTACGTGTGCGACTTTCATGTTGTCCCTGTGGCCAGTCATGTGGAATTTAAGATAGCTCTGTTGTCGGTTCGTCTCACACCATTCATTCCTTGAGCTGCTCCATGTATTTGAGGAACTCAACATCCTTGTATCCTGAATAACTGTGTCCCTACCCTACTGTCAAAACAAGTGTCTCTGTCATATCCCTTCCACCCACTCTTCAGAGTGATACCAGGCTTCTCCTTCTTCCTATGCTTGCTTTCTTCTGCTCAAGGAATGCTCTTCCTGAGGTGCTCAGCAAAGCCACAACCCTGTACACCTTTAAAACTTCTATGAGGCTTGCAAGAAACTAGCTAAGTAATCTGCTTATCTGTTTCATTTTATCTCATGAGTGACTCACTTCTCCCATGGTGCCTGCAAGAAACTTGTTGATTATCTACTTCCTCTTACTTGGTTTTTATCAAATAAAAACATTACTGGATTGTGCCCTGCATTAGCCTTCACAGAGGTTGGGTGAATTCTAGGATAGCTGGATGATGATCACCCTTCGGATGCCACTCCGTTCTTCCTGCCCGTTTATTGCTTGTATCCTTTGTTGCTTCTCATTAGAAACACCACCTTGTCGTCCAGCTGCCTGCAAATAAGGAGGCTTTGCTCTTCACTTGGCTCTTCATGACTTTAGCAGAGCACCAAATACATGTAGGAGTCCACCTACTTGGAGCTTATTCTAAGCTCGGTGTAGTAGTTTGGGAGCTACTCCAGGGATGAGCAGTGTTTTTTGTCTCTAGCAGGTGTCTCCTACCACAATTTGTGGGAGTGCTAAAACGCAGTTCATAAGGAGCAAATAGCATTTGGTGTGACTCTTGACTGTTGTGATCATACTCTGTGTGCATTTTTCATGTTATTTAATTTTCAGTGTTTGTAACTCCAAAAAAAGTTCTCTAAGATAAATGTGTGAAGGTTCTCGGCTTGCTAATGCTCTCTAGCAAGCACAGATAGTGTTATCCACACTTTAAACAAAGAATTTAAAGATATTTAAATTGAACACAATTTTAACTTACTGGATAAGAGTAACAATTTAAAGAAATCTTTTATTCTGCGTAAGAGAAAGTAGCAAACTGTATCTTTTTATAATTGTACTGTGTAGTGTCATGAAGTAATACATACAGGGATCATTTTTATTCCTGTGCTACATAACAGGCAGCATTTATTTGTGGCTTGTTGTGCTTGTCATGTCTTTGTAATGCACAAATACCAGTGGGTCTCCCTTTTGTGCAAATGGTGACGTGTATTTAGAGTGCTCTTCAGCGGGGCATCTCCATCTCTATGAAGTTAAGCACGTGCTGTGTGCTAGCAGGATCTGTGGGCTGGAGTGTAAGACAGGTACCCGTTGTTCACTTGTTACCAGCATTTCCCAAGGAAACGGTATGGCCTTGGCTGTGTCAACATCCTAATTTGATACCAGTTTTGCGGCATTATCGTCTAGCAAGCTAATGGTCACATAGGTAATTAATGTTGCTAGACACAATGGCAGCATTCCTCTAATTAGTACAGACTCCAGTTTGTTCAGTAAGACCCAGAGTTTGAATCCCCATATTCCCTACGGGCCTTGCCTTGGAGCTGGAGGCTGGAGCTGCACTACTGGAGCTAATTCTCTGGTTACTTTTGCTGCCATATGGGGAAGGGTTACCTGGGGATGAGTCCTGAACGTTATCATCAGCATTAGTAATTTACTAGATGGAAAACAAGGGAACTGTCTTTGAATACTCAGAGTTGCTACTGACTAGCTCCCCTGGTTGCAGTCCCTGAGTAGAAGGTGAAGGAGGGCAAAGGAAGGAGTAAGAGCCCCCAAGAGAGTACAGGTTTCTCCAGTGAACAAGCTGAGAGCTTTGAAGTAGAACATGCCATCAATGTGGACTTTTTCTTTTCCTCTTCTAGTTCAGCTTATGATACCAAAACAAGACAGAAGGTGGCAGTAAAAAAGCTTTCAAGACCTTTTCAATCACTCATTCATGCGAGGAGGACCTACCGAGAGCTTAGGTTGCTTAAGCACATGAAGCATGAGAACGTAAGTGAAGAGTGAGTTCTTTCCCATTGGATTTTTAGGACACAAGTTTGCAATATAGACTTAACATCAGTTAGGTAACAATCTTTTTCGAAAAGTATATGAAACTCTCTAACTGCCCAGGATACCTGAACATAGCCATCTTACATCTAGTGAAGTCACTGGACTTTAAAGTAGAGACTTTCAGTAAAAGGCTGCCTTTTTATTAAAAAATTATCTCATTTCATCTTGAAAACACAGCTAATGAAATCCAAAACAACTGATCCTAGTCTTCTCTAACTAAAGTAGTAAGAGTGTTCTGCTCACTACTGTTGGATGCTCTTGAAACATCAGTCCAGAAAGAAAAATACCTCAAACCTGCTATTGCTGCATTTGAATTCTGTTGGGGAATTAAGGGCAGATATTCTCATTGAAATTAACAACAGTGTAATATCTAGATAAAAGATAGCAGAACTTCAGATCCCAAATAATTGAGTACTATTCTAAGTTTATGTGGCAAACAGTTGATTTCAGTGGGAGTATCCAGTGGGAGTAACTTGATGAATTGAAGCCTGAATAAAATATAGTGGATTGAAAAGTATCCTGGAGAAATATGCCATGTTATCCATGGGAGAGCAGTGTGCCCTGGTGGCCAAGAGGGCCAATGGTATCCTGGCGTGCATCCTCTCTCGACCTGCTGGAGTATTGTGTCCAGTTCTGGGCTTCCCAGTTCAAGAGAGACAGGGAACTTTTGGAGCGAGTCCAGTGAAGGGCTATGAGGATGATGAAGGGACTGGAACATCTCTCGTATGAGGAAAGGCTGAGAGACCTGGGGCTGTTTAGTCTGGAGAAGAGAAGGCTGAGAGGGGACTTCATCAATGTCTATCAATATCTGAAGGGCAGCTGTCAGGAGGATGGAGCCAGTCTCGTTTCAGTAGTGCCCAGTGATAGGACGAGGGGCAATGGGCACAAAATGCAGCACAGGAAGTTCCACCTCAACATGAAGAAAAACTTCTTTACTGCGAGGGTGATGGAGCACTGGAAAAGGCTGCCCGGAGAGGTTGTGGAGTCTCCTTCTTTGGAGACCTTCAAAACCCGACTGGACGCGTTCCTGTGCAAGGTGATCCTGCCTTGGCAGGGGGGTTGGACCAGATGATCTTCAGAGGTCCCTTCCAACCCCTACCATTCTGTGGTTCTGTGAAAGGATGCTAAAAAAGTTCAACAACAACAACAGAACAAGATAACCCATGAAATTGTGCATAATCTTAAGTATAGCAACTGTTTAAGCCATGGGTCAGATTTTCTGTAATGAGACGTTACTTTTCCTGCCTTTATTTCTGATTGTCTGAAGTCTTGTTGTAATTACTTCTTGTAATTAATATAAATTTCTGTTGGTCATGGGGATATCTGAGGCTGTACCTAGATAAACCACCTATTGTGCCAGTTGTGCTAAGTTTTCAGGATAACCATATGTCATATTTTTGACCATGTGTCATATTTTTGGAAGTTTCATCCCAAAAATGCTAAGCACTGTTAATACTAATTACATGTTGCTTTACAGATTTCTAAAAATAAAATGTTGATTCCCTCATCTTTCAGGTTATAGGACTGCTAGATGTTTTTACACCTGCAACATCAATAGAAAATTTTAATGAAGTGTAAGTAAAATTTTAAAATCATTCTGACTAGTTAGTAAGTAAATAAGTACCACTCTGGTTTTAAAAAGGGAACGCGTACTTTTCTAATAGACTTGCAGCCACCGCTGGCTTTGTGTGAAGTACCCAAATAAATCTTTTTGTAGCTTTGCCACAAAAGAGGTGGCAGGAGGATGAGCCTCAGTTTTCTACTTTTTTGAATGATATTTAATAAGATTATAGGTATGTGGTAAATGGTTTGATGCCACATAAATGCCAGTAAACTTAGAACTCTCTCAGTTCAGTTATGTGCTAGCTGTAGATTATTTTTTCACAGACAGATGGGATAGTTCAGGAATGCAGGAAAGTAGTCTGTGGGTTAACTGAGACAAGGTAGATTTAGGCTAGATTCCCGACTAACCTAGGACTAGGTGTATTTTGGTGTTACTCAAACGTATGATTTATGCTGAGTTCCTCGTCGTTTACATCGTGTATAAGCACTTAGGTAAACAATTTACTAGAAGAAATAGTAATTAATATATTTTTGTCTCCATGGAAATTAGTGACTCTGGGGTAAAATTACACAAATGAGAACTGGGTATGATAGATGCAAACTTCTGTCCCAGCACTGTTTTTGGAAAAGAATCAACGTTTCTGCAAAATTAGTCAAAAAATAAAACTTCGTGTGGAGGCGGGGAGGGAAGTTACACAAAACACTCTTATTTCAACCAATCCAACGTTAATCTCCATCATCAGATATTCCAGGGTCTTGCGGGTACTGTAGTTTTGGTGCCTCAAGCTCCCACTTTGATGTTGGGTGATGCTTTCTCCACCTCAAAATATAATGCATTCTCCCCTCACTGAACTGCGGTAGTATGTCATGGAGAAAACAGAGATAAAAGCTTTTAATGTACCGTAAGGATTTTTATTTTTCATGATGTTAAGTCTCATAGCTGTGATCCCATTATTAAAGCTCATAGCTGATTTAAAGGGTATAAACTGTGTGTTAGTAGAAAGTGGAAAAGGAACCTACATGCGAGTGTGTAGTTACTCTTTAGAAGTGCAGCTTTTAGAAGGATTTACATTTTGCCATTCTTAAATGAGGTGTGTTTCTTTGTTTTCTTCTGTTTTATTTTCACAGGTATCTCGTGACAAATTTAATGGGTGCTGACCTGAATAACATAGTGAAGTGCCAGAAGTTGACAGATGACCATATACAGTTTCTTATCTACCAGTTACTTCGAGGTCTTAAGGTACTGGCTGAATGCAGGAATTTTAGAGTCAGCAACCAAAATGTTGTAGTAATGACTGGTTCATTGCAGTGACAGTACTTAAACACTTTTTTTTATGTCTTAAGAGTGTGCAGATAGCAGCAATCACTTTAGAAATTATCAGATCATTTTTCTAACCAGAAATAAAACCCCAAGGCTGCCAATGTTTGCATGTGCAATACATGTGAATACTCCCCTTGAACATTATCTTTAGATCAGTGTCTATTATTGAAGGAGCATCACTTGCTAGATAGTGTCTCAAGTGAACATGTTCTGTAGGGCACAGTGTGTCTTTTAGACACTTCACCTGTCCTGAGAAGGTAGTGAAAAAACTTCTGAAGAATGTGAAATTAATAAAGAATGATATGGCAAGTAACTCACATTTGTGCTTTGAAAGACATGAGGTGGTTTGAAAAACTACAGCCCTGATTTTTGTAGAGAGTGTCACATAGATGAAGATATAACCAAGTTAGTTGGGTTCTCTGGGAAATGTCTGGACATAGAAGTTTATCCTAGGAACGTATGATGTTGCACACAATCACCTCGGATTCACTCTGCAATCACTCTTCTGTGATTCTGTGATTGTTTCCTTTAATCATATCAGTTAAAATTTATACAATTAGATAACACAGGTGATGCGCAATGAAATTGTAGCAAAATTTTCTTCTGAAAGAATTAAAATTCTAAAACCAGCACCTGGGGGTGCTGGTGACAGCCGGCTGAACATGCGCCAGCGGTGTGCCCAGGTGGCCAAGGCGGCCAACAGCATCCTGGCCTGTATCAGGAATAGTGTGGCCAGCAGGAGCAGGGAAGTGATCGTGCCCCTGTACTTGGCACTGGTGAGGCCGCACCTCGAATCCTGTGTTCAGTTTTGGGCCCCTCACTACAAGAAGGACACTGAGGTTCTGGAGCGTGTCCAGAGAAGGGCAACGAAGCTGGTGAGGGGTCTGGAGAACAAGTCTTATGGGGAGCGGCTGAGGGAACTGGGGTTGTTGAGTCTGGAGAAGAGGAGGCTGAGGGGAGACCTTATCGCTCTCTGCAACTGCCTGAAAGAGGGGTGTGGTGAGGGGGGTGTTGTTCTCTTCTCCTAAGTAACTACGGATAGAATGAGAGGAAATGGCCTCAAGTTGTGCCAGGGGAGGTTTAAACTGGATATAAAGAAAAATTTCTGTACTGAGAGGGTGGTCAGGCATTGGAACAGGCTGCCCAGGGAGGTGGTGGAGTTGCCATCTCTGGAAGTGTTCAGAAAAACGTGTGGATGTGGTGCTTCAGGACATGGTTTAGTGGGCATGATGGTGTTGGGTTGATGGTTGGACTTGGTGATCTTAAAGGTCTTTTACAACCTTAATGATTCTGTGATTCTGTAAAATATGTATCATTTTGCTGACATTAAACATATAAGTATCTATAAACAGGAGAAAGTTTATAAAATGCTTCCCGTTACTAGGTGATAAGCATTTTCTCGAACTAGTGTTGATTTTCCCAGGTAAAAGCAAAGAGAGGGGTCAACTGCTTTAGCAGCTAACTTAATAGTAATTGACATTTTAGACCTGGAAAATAACTGCATGTTTGAAAGCAAGCCATTGTAAATACTGGCTCTGAAATACACTTATTACATGATTTTCAGCAAGCCACCTGGTGCCTGAGACAGTAATTCTTATTCATGCATGCAGGTTCTGTCAATTTAAGTGCAGATTTTAGGGAATAAAAATTGCAGAACTGAGCCCTTAATTGCTTTGTCTCATTTACTTAAGTTAATAGCTTGATTAGGAAGATGGATTCTGGAGTTAATTATCCAGCTTGCGGTTTTGAATATAAGGCTATGTTGTGTCAGAGAGAAATAATAGTAAGAGTTGGGCTCTAAAGTGAATATTAATTTCCAAAATGTGCTCAGGTGCATTTCTGGCTCTGTTTCAAAGGGGAGGGGTCTCTTCTGGACTTGAAGTTCTCGTGTCTCATTAGTCGAAGCACATTTGATCGTACATAACTCCTCCCTTACCTCTACGCTGGGGTCATTACAACGCGTGTTCGCGTACCTGAGTAAGCCTGGGGCTCGCCGGTAGGTGTGTTCGGCCGTACGGAGCGCAGGCTTCGCGCCCAGCAGCGGCCGTCTGAGCAGAGGAAGCGCTAGTGTGGAGCTGCGGAGATCGGACGGCTCCCGAGCTGGCAGGGAGCTGCTTGGTGGCACCGCGAGGAGCCCGTGTCACAGCGAGCGGGGACGCGGCTCGCTCTGCCGCAAGCGGTGGTTGGGTTTCCTGTCTGTTCAGCTGCTCACAGCTGTTGTAAGGAACTGGAACAAGGTCTGGAACAAGAAGAATGTCCTGGCATTTTCTTTGGGTTTTCCCAGTTGATATACAGGTTTTGCATGTAATCTCTGCTCTTACAAAAGAAGGTGAATTCACCTCTAGAGAATAGAAGAGAAGGTTTTGGAGGTCTTGCTAATCCTGGTCAGTAAGATCATAGATAAACTGGCTGTTAATCCTAACAAGTGAACGATAGGCAATTACAGAGTAAGATTTGCTCAGTCTTTGAGTTTCAACATTTTATTGTAAAATAGCAGAGACACTAAATAGCCATTGAAATACTGCTTTGGGTCACTGCTTTGGAAGCGGACCTGAAGCACTGCTGCGGCTTAGCTTGGTATCTGGTCACTGACCTGTCCCAGGGCGTGAGTATCTCTCACCCATATTTGGTGTTCAGAGTGTGGGAAAGGGATTTACGTCATCTAGGAGTCAACTGTACTGCTCCCTAGGCCGCTGACTTCACTGAGGCACTAGCTGATCAACATGGACGTCCAGGTAAGACTGGAATAAATTCCAAATTGGTAAGAAACTTTTGACAGAAGAATCACTGCAAGTGCTGTCTTTTGTGGTAGAACCTAGTCTTCATGGTTACCTTTCTTGAAACATTCAGCTCTGGATAAGACAAAACAAGGAGGTTTTGAAGTGCGTCATACCTCTGTTTGATCTGAACATGTAGTGTGACGTAAGTCTTTTCTGTGTATAAAACCATCAGCCTCAGAAGTGAAAAGATAAGACAAGTGACTTATACCTTCCGTCACCTCTAACTTCAGATCTTAATTTTTTTTTCCTTTTTGTTTCACAGTACATTCATTCAGCTGGAATCATACATCGGGTGAGTTCACTCATGGCGATAATAAAAATGAATGGTGCCTCCCTGTGCATCAAATGTGTTACTAAGACATAGTTGTGATATACTTCAAAAGGTTAAAATCGTATTTGACTAACTCTGTTCTGCCACAGGACCTGAAGCCCAGTAACCTGGCTGTAAATGAAGACTGTGAATTGAGGGTAGGTATCATGCTGTTGTAATGAAGAATGTTGTAAAAGCTCTCAAGATGACAGTTTTCTGAGAAAAACATTAGCTACCGTTTTTATTTCTGATTCCATTAATTTCAGCTGTTTGCTACTGTTGCTCCCCTGGCATAGAAAACCCATTTCCTTGAATATCTGTTTTCTCCCCAGTGTTAATTTAGTATGAACACAAGTATCTTTGCAGAATGTTCATTCCTGGTTCCTTGCAGATGGTACATAGGCTAATGATTTGGCCCATGAGTGAGTACTGAACTGAGTATATCTTGAAAGTTTGACCTGTGATATGTATCTGCACCTGCCATGTTGAGATTAAGCCTTGCAACAACTTTCATTTTTATATCTACAGAACATACAAGCTAAATCAAATAATGATATGAAAAAAGATAGCAGTATTACCAGTTAAGTTACCAGTTACAGGCAGTAAAAAAACCAAACCAAACCAAACCAACCAAACCCCACCAAAAAACCCACCTGAAATCCACATTTCTCAAATGCTATTTTAATGTACATATCTATATAAATACATATCTTTGTGTATCTGTGTGATATGATATTACATAATAAGCGTGAGACTCTGGAGAAGGAAAAGATGTCTTCTAGCTTTCTAAGCCTTTAAGCCTAAGAATGAGAAGTTTAGCATTTCTCCGTGAGAGCCAGAAACATCTTTCTCCCTGTGACTGAGTCTGATGTAATCACTTTATTCCAGCTGTGGCGGATTTAAGAAAAGATTCCAAATACTGCAAGATCAGCAAAAAATCACAATAGTCAATAAGAACAGTGCAGTTAGGTTCTCGCACTAATCCGGATCTGTGGCGAGAAACTGTAGTTCCTGTGTGGTTTAGTGACACTTGCAGATGCTCGGCAAGTTTCATCATTATCCCTTTAATATCTTCATGCATGTATGTTCAGCATCTGTGAAATTTTATGGGTCGTCTGAGTCTGATCATGCACTCTAACATGTGTGCTGTATTTTTGTACTGTAAGTAAAGGAGACTTTTAATTGTCTTTTTTCTATTATTATGGTATCTGTGCACCTCCCTGCTTAGCATTTGTTACACTGCTCTTTGCTTCGTGTATATTTATAGCTTTACTTTGTCTGGTACCAAATTATTTTCTAGAACAAACTATTTCCAGGTACAAACAAAAAGGGAATAGCAGCAAAAAGAAGAAAAATGTGTGTGTGTGTACACATTTGATAGAAGAGATCAGCTATTGAAGTATTGCCAAAACCCTTATAAAAAAAAGAGCATTATTGTTCAAGTTTCAAGCCATTATTCATGCCTTGTTTACCGCATGCTTTTATTTTTTCTTATTTAAGAAATAAATAGCGCTTTTAAAGTATATTGTAAGTAAAGATGTTAATGTGTTATTTATATATTAATATTTTTCTTTAGGTTTGTTATATCTTTAAATTGGATTATAACTGGGGAATTTTGAATGATACTCCTAAAATTTTCTTACTCCCAATGAAAATGATTAGCCATCAGCTTAATAAATAATCCTGGATATCATCATGGAAGGTTGCCACTGATTTTAATTCACATTTTTGTTTGAAGAGATGCTAACTAGCTCAGATGAGTTAACGAGCAGCGCTGAGGCTCAGATGGGACCCTTTCACAACAGTCTCTTTTAGAGTTAGGAACACCTTTTAGCTCCATAATTAGTGGGACATAGATCAAAAAATGGAAAGCAAAGAAATGAGCAGGAAAAATTTAATTGAAATAACTTCCCATCAAGGTAAACTTAGCAAGGGAGAGCATATGGAGGGGAACATTATGCCATCAAGCCTATGAATAATATCTGTGGCTAAACAGAGCTCCTTTGTTGTTTCGGTGGGGGAGTTCTACCGAAAACAGATGGTTTAAACGTGATTTAAATCTACCTTGTTATGCAGGATATATGCTTCTCTCCTAGTGGCATCGAAATGCTGCGTGATTTGGGTAAATGCTACCTGTGTGCAACAGCGGTTAGGGAGACGTGAGAGGGAAACATCAGGAATTCTGTGCATTTGTGATCAGCTCGTGGGGGTCTTTAAATGTTTAAGTGGCCGGTGGCACTTGCTGTTGGCATTTTACACAAACGTTCCCGCTGGGTGACGTTTCGTTTTTATAGCAGCAGTGCTCAATTTTAGCAAATGAATGCCAGAGGAAAATTTAACTTGAGGTAAAAATGTAAAGTTTGCCTTAGAGGACACAGGGCCGGGCTCATCGCCGTGGAAGTGTCTTTGTGCAGACCCGCAGGCTGCAGGGATGCAGCAGGGAGCTCGTCCGCAGAGCGTTGCCGCTTTTCTTCACCGGTGGTGACTGCTGGATAAGCTCAGAAAGAAGTAATGGGGAAAATCAATACCTGCAACAAAAGTGAAAAGGCATTTTTATTAATTCTTTTTTCTTCTGTAGATTTTAGACTTTGGTTTAGCTCGACAAACTGATGATGAAATGACGGGATATGTTGCAACAAGATGGTACAGAGCTCCAGAAATTATGTTAAACTGGATGCACTACAATCAAACAGGTAAACTGGGAAGACTGGGATTTTGCTACAGCTGGATGTAGTGATAGTTTTAAAACAAGGGGCAACTCTGTTTAAGGATCTCTTTGATTCATCGTACACATTTCTCTCCCTGTTTTTCGGCAGTTGACATCTGGTCGGTTGGATGCATCATGGCCGAGCTATTGAAGGGGAAGGCCCTATTTCCAGGAAATGACTGTATCCTTAACATAAAACATACAATGCAGCTATAGAAATACCCCCTAATTCTTCCTTTTTTCTAATGACTCAAGTGTTTCTATGGACATGTTTTTGAGGTAACAAACTCCTAGAACGGTAAACAATTTTTGCTAATGTTTCGGTTTAGTGTCTATGCCAGCAGAATATGAGACCCACTGGTAGGAAAAAACCAGTAACAGATGTTCCTAAAAAACAGTAAGTTACATTTACTCTTTGTTGTGTATCTGTATGTAAATAATAACCTAGTTACAAGGGGGCAGATTTCTTCCATGTGTGTATCTTACTGAAATAATATACATTAAAACTGAAGCTGTGTAAAGACCGTATTTTTTAAATGGCTAATATAATTTTAAAAAATAGAACTGCTTTTAGGCTGGAAGTTCCTAAAATGCAAATGAATTAACTTTTAAATAATAAATGTATTAATAGACATATTGTGTCCCATCATAAAAAAAAGCCAACAGTTCCAGAAATGCCACGGAAGCAACAAAACCCTCTTTTCCTCAGCGCTGTGATGTGGTCCGTGCCAGAGTATCAGGGATTCCCGTTGGCATTTCCTGCGCTGGCAAGAGGAAAAAAAGCCATTGTTGAGGAGAGCAGTAAAATAATAAAAGAAAACTGAAGAAAAACAGATAATGAGGAATGAGGAAACAACTGCAGCAGAGGAGGGAAGCTTTTAATATGAGAAACAAAGGCACATTCTTCTGTACTGAATATTGACATTTCTTGCTACTCTGAAACCCTCAAAAAGCAAACACTTCTGCTAAAACTAAGCTGTTGCCAGGTGCAAAACAACAGGACATTAGAACTGCCTGCAAAACTGTTAAGAGAGCTGAGAGACCAAGTCTCCCCACTGACCTTTCTATTGTGCTCAGCATCATTAGGCTCTCTTATAACCACAGGCATTGTCCAGATGTTCATCATCTGGATGATGACTGTGCTTCAGACTGTTTGATTACATGATATGTGGTATTTGGAAAATCAATACATCTAGTTTTCAAGAAATAAGATATTGCTGTTATAAAGTATTGGCTACAACTATATGATTACATCAATTTAAATAAAGCTGTAAAATAACCCTGAGTCTCTAGGGAAAATGTAATATACTTTACAGGTCATATATGACAATGAAAAACGAACATTTTAAAGTTTTTTATCTTGGGAGTGATATAAAACAGATTTTTAAAGCTACTAAATGAGAATTTTCCACTTACCAGCCCTCAGATTTGTAATCTAGCCCGATGTGCTCTATCTTATGAGCTGTTCTTCAGAAATCCTTCAGATCACTGAAACATAAATGTGCTATTAAAACTAAGCTTAAGAATATGTTAAACTGGGAGCTGGGACAGGGAAGCAATATTTTGCATGCACCTTTCTCACATACAGGCACACCTGACAGAAATGCATATAGTACCATAGAGAATTTGGTACTCCAGCAACTAGGCTTAATCAGGTATGAATTGGTATCCTTCCATGGACTACGATGGAGTTGTCTTGCTGAATACTTTTAAACATCTTAACTATCTGCATGAAAGCTCATTAATTGTTTAAACCCAGAAGGACCGTGTGGTGTTTTTTTCCCTGAAATAATGCAGATATCGATCAGCTAAAGAGAATAATGGAAGTTGTGGGCACACCCAGTTCTGAACTTCTGAAGAAGATATCATCAGAACATGTGAGTTCACAGCTTCATTTGGTTAACTGACTTTCTGTCATTCTAACTAGCATCGTACGTCACTGGTTGTGCTACACAGATACCTGGATTTGGAAATGGGCAAACACTTCAAAGTGGTCTCTCTTTTTTGCTGCTAGAATGGCATGACTTAAAAAATACTCTTTTTAGAGGTGTCCAAATGCCTGGACTGTCAGCTGTATTAATTTTGATACTTGTTCTCGTGTACTCAGTTTTTGAAAGGAGTTTTGCAGTTGGTCCCGATGATCTTTTATTTTACTGCTATACTTATAATAAAAAAAAATTCAAACTGATGCTCAGCTTAGAGCATTATATTCTTGTTATTAAATCTGATGTCTCTTTAATTTTTATACTTTCCATTTTTGTAAGGGATCTAAACAGAGATATCAGCATCAAATAATGCATGTTCTGCCTGAGGGCTCTCATTTGGATCCCTAATTTGAAGTTCATATTTATTCATCTCTCAGAATGCTTGTGTGAGGTCCACTTTCATGATAATATCTGTAGTTAACGGTGTGATTTTTAATTCTCCATATGACTTCTTTAAGATAGTAATCTAGTAAATGAACAATTTCCACTTTGTTTCTCTGCTAAAGCTATACTTAAAGGATTTGCTTTAAGCTATAACTGTGGATATCCAGCTGAGGAATGAGATGTGGCATTGATTGATAAAGGCAGGTGATGGGCACGGTGTAAAAATTCAGCTCAACAACAGCACACAGATACCTCCTGAGCTGAAGCTGTTTTCTTAAGCCTGTATGCTCCTCAGTCTAATACTAGTGGCTATTTTTCAGCTTGTGTGTATATTGATGGGTTTTCTTTGAACTTACTAATGAATACAGTAGTGGGTTAATTAAGGAGGAGCAGTAGGAGAGCCAGAGCAACACTGTATTTCTGGAAGGTCCAAGCATAAGGAAACCTCATCGGCGCAGGCCAACGCCTGTTTGTGAGTTTTTCAATTATGAGATTAAACACCTTAAATAGTAACTGAAGATGATATCTGCTTTTGTCTTTAATTCACTGTGTTTCAGGGCATACCTCAGTGAGCTACAGGAATCCCAAAACTGTTTTACTGAGACTAATTATACCTCTAGAGCATGGGGAGAACACAAAATCCAAGTTAATGAATGGGGGTGCTACTACGTCACCTCTGGGCTGCTGCTGCCTCGTTAGAGGAGCAACGTCAAAGGAGATATGTACCTTGCTTGGAGGTACTTGCCTCTTGCAAGGGAGTGTCTATTCCATTCCTTCATTCTAGTTCTTCTTTACCTTGTACTTTGGCCTTATTGTTTAGATATTTCACAACGCAGTTTACAGTCCCAGACAATTTTTTCCATTCCTCTAACAGCAAGGTCAGAGCTTTTCTGAAACGCCAAGCCAATTTTCAGTTGTAAGTAGAGAATTGAAGAATTGAAAACTAAAAGATCAACCTCATGGGATGTTTCAGCAGAAGTTACTGAGCTGATCTGTCAGTCTTTCATGTTAACATAGGTTTAAATGGTGATTGCATTTCATTATTTTCAGAATAATTTAAATGTCTGGATTCTATTGTTTGGGTTTCTGTGGTGAATGTATAAGCAGAGGGGACAGGTTGGTAAGTATACTTTGACAGGTCTGTGTTGTTTTCAAAGGACTTCTGGACAAGGTTGGAGATAATTTTGACCACATCTTGTTCAGTCATGATGGAATTAGGATTAGTGATGTTAATTAATGTTCATACAGCAACAAATAATCCACAAATCCACAGATGTTTGTCATAAGATATATTTACCTCTTGTTTCTGCCCTAGTCCATGGCTTAATGCAAGAATGTGTGACAGCTCTCCTTTGCTCTGCTCTTCATACATATGTATAAACTAATGCCCTGGAAGACTTAACTCTGACAGGAGCTGCAGGTGTTGGCTGCCTTTATGAACTTTAGGGGCATTAAATAGGCGGAGTGAAGTCTATTTTTGACTTTTAATCATCATTCTCTGCGTGACTGGTTACAGCTGCTAGAGAGAAACCATCCTTTTAGGAAGCCTTGCTGTCAGCCCCCATAATGAAAAGGGAAAATGCTAATATAGTTCTAGCAGGTTGGGGACATAACGCATGAAGGCTTGCTTCTTTTAGTAAGGCTCTGAAATGTGTCACTAAGTAGTAGGTAGTCTAGAGTTTTGATAGAATATGCTTACATCTTACAAGAAGCAGAAAAAATAAATAGATCTGCCTCGTTGAATTAGAACACAGTTTGAAAAGAGACTGGGCTACGTCATGATTTAAAATATCTTTATATCAGTTCATCATAGCTGCGGAAATTAAGATGATGGCAGAGAGAACAGCATAGGGAGGCAGGATCTGTTTCCCAAGTGTGGTTGTAGGATTGCACAGATGATATGTCAGAGTATTTTATAGTTGCTTAACGGTAGTTCAGTAGATAGTTCCACAGTTCTCAATCTGATATCTCACTTGAAACCATGGAGCTGCATTGGTGTGAACAACTTTATTTCTTTTGCTGTCTTCAGCAGGCCGAGGGTGCTTAGTTAGCCTCCTGCAGATAGCCTCCTTCTAACAGGATTGCTAAACGTGCAGGGAGACGTCCCTGGTAACACAAACACGTTTTAAAAGGGTTAAGGTTTGTTCAAAGACCAGCTGGGTTTTTTACGGATTTGGGGACAGCCATTTCCCTCTTCTTTAACTGTTCCGTTTCAGAACTCCCTGTTCTGTCTGATCCCAGCCCTTAGGACCAGCATTCAACCTCTTTTCTTGCCGATTGCCCGCCTACCTACCTCAGCCCAGAAATTCGTAGCTCAGGTAATGTCAGGCTCCGCACTGACATTTGTGGGTCTGGTAGGCGGGGAGGCTTGTCCTCACTGAGCCTGGATGGGCCTTTCACAGCCACGGTGACAAGGCAAGCTATAAAGTCTTGTAAATACCTGAAAATCTGCGCCCTGGGAGCATCAGAATTTGTTCTCTGGTTAGTGAAGCTACTGTTCAACAGAGGAGAGAGGGGGAAGGACGTGGATTGGATTATGCCACTTTGCTGAGGGTAACGGAAAGGTGATTTAGGTTCCAATTTCTGGTTGAATGTTACATGTATGGGTTCCCTGGGGCTATACTGCAATGAACCAGTAAGCATAGGTGAAAAAATAAGCGCTAACACATAACCCTTAGAGGAAAATACACTTCTTTAAACCTCTCTTGCTTATTGTGCAATATACAGGAGTGACTATTTAAAACAAAGTCATACATTATGGTTTTTATGTAAAGAAGCTTTTCCCATGTATGAAAAACATTACAAATATTACGTCTGCTTTTTTAGATGCTAGGTTACTCTTGGGCAAAATTTAACCTCTGTGCATGTGGTATGTGTATTGATTTATTCCTAGGCAAGAAAATACATTGAATCTCTTCCACATATGCCTCAACAGGATTTGAAAGCAGTATTTCGTGGTGCCAATCCATTAGGTAAGAAAGTCAGACTGATACAGATTAAATCTTTAACTAACATAGGAACTCAAGCCTTCCTTTGCTACACGATCCCATATAATAATGATCAGACCAGTGAGAAGAGCATTGCTTAACCATTCGTCCTGAGACTGTTTTCCCTTCATGAAGCCAGTGTCTTTTGTTTCTGGTGGAGATTATGGGAACCTCCTAAAGGAAAACGGTCTTTGGATGAAAAGCAAAAGCCAACTATATGTAGCAGGAATAAAAAAAAAAGTCATGGGGTCTAGACTAGAGACATCACTTCTGGCTCAGGAAGGCCATAAGCTGTAAATTGCTGGCCAGCAGAAGAATATAGCAGGAAGTATAGCTGTTTGAATGACCCTTTTGAGTATTATTTCCTAAGAATGTATCAGCCATTGTTGGACACAGGATACCAGACCAGACAGACCTTCGGTCTGATCTTGCACAATTGTTTTTATGTCTAACCAATTGGGTCTGCCTGTCCAAAAGAGATGTTTCTGTAAGCCATGCTTTGTGACACGGCTTTGTGACTCAAGGAGATGTTTGAGTCACTGGGGTCATCTTACTACAGCGCCCGGTCAGTTCCACCGACTGCACATTAAAACATTGTCTATAGGGAAGTATTATGAGTCAAAATGTTTTGAATTCCTTCTGTGTATTAAAAGACGGTTTTATTTTTACAAATATAAGTAGCTGTGAACATTGTCTTACAAAAAATGGGATTTGTTTGCATGAGGTACATGAGAACATGCTACATATTCATATCATAAAGGGAAACTAATGACTGCTTATGTGAAAGCACTAAAAATCACTTTTATGTAATATTTAAATACTTGTTATATACTTTCCATATAAAACCAATTTCAGCCTTGCAGATCTCTCTCATTTCTAACATTGTGCCGCTGTCGACTCCAAACATATTTGCTTTATGCTGGGTCCTATAAAGTTGCTTTGGGGTTTTCATCTAATGATTTCATTGGTGCAGCTAATTAAAAGTCACAGTTTTAAGTCACTTAAGTTTGCACTGATGAGGACCAAGTTAAGCACATGATGCACAACACAGGATAGTTAACTTTTAAGCACACAGAGATCTTTTCAGAATGAAGGCCTTGGATGTCTGAAGAGGTGAATCAGATATCAGATAGAATGTAATGAACCTTTGTGCATACCACAAGCAAACCAGTAGCTTTCTTCAGCTCTGAAAATTATACTCAGAGTATAAAATCTTCAGAACTTATTTGTTATATTGCCTAAATTTTGTGCGTTTGCCAATAATGTTAACTGTGTTTAAGGTGAGTGAGAACAGATTGTGTGTAAACAGTTCCCTTCTCTTTTTCTAGATGGTCTCTTCTGGCTTTGAACTGCATTTCTCCTTTTCCCTTAGCTGTAGATCTTCTTGAGAAGATGCTTATATTAGACAGCGATAAAAGAATCACTGCCTCGGAAGCACTTGCACACCCATACTTTGTACAGTATCATGATCCGGATGACGAACCTGAGGCCGAGCTGTACGACGAGTCAATAGAGAATAAGGAGCGAACCATAGATGAGTGGAAAGGTAACAGAGCTGCATGCGGTAGTTAATGCATGCAGCAGAACAGAACCTTCCTTAAGTAACAGGTTTCCTCCGTTTCTAACCAGAGCAATTTGAACCCTTAAGCCTCAGGGAAACAGGGTAAGTCCATGTGTGTGCTTGTGGGAGTGGAGATGTGGAAAGGGTGGTTTCCTCTCTGGATTTCGCTCCCTTCCCCCATTCTATCATCTCCTCGCTACATTCCCTATAGCAGGTTTACTCTTAACTAAAAGGTGATGCGAGTTACCAGATAACCACACGTTCTGTCTTACTTTTAGTTTTTTAGGTCAGATCCTCAGCTGAAGTAACTGTTCTAGGGCAAGTGATGCTATTTGGGATTCTGATCTAGCTTTGTTCAGAACCAAAAATTAAAGTTTTCCACATAAAATGTGTATTTGGCTAATCATTTTTTATATAGCCAAGTAATTGGGATTAATAGATAAACCGTGCTGTTGATCTTGTTTGAGATGAAAGCTGATAATTTTACTGTGGAGTGACACCCCAAAACCCATTCTTGAGAAATACTGCAGCAACCGTTTTTTATGAGTTAATTCCATGCTTGCATCATGACCATATTGCACTACAGTATCACGAGAGTAACACGGCTAAACATTTAGGTTGCAAGTATACTGAAAAGTACAGTCCAATTTCATCATTGTCTAATGAGGACATATTATGCTAAAAATTCCTTACTAGACATTTTAAATTGAGGGTAACGTTCTAGAAAACTAATTGTTCCTGTTTATCAATAAAGTCCTTTCCTTAGCATAAGATGAGATGTGTATTCTATAAAATAAATGTCCTGTTTCTATTTGTATATTCTGTAACTTTTACTTCAGAAAGGTTTGATAAAAATATATTAGCATAGTGGATAGGTTTATAATAAAAAATAGTGACCTCCCATGTCTTACTCATGCCCTTCCACTTGTGCGATGTTTTATCCTGGGCATTGCAGGGGAGACAAGCAGACTGACTATAGCAAATACATCTTAAAGAAAGATAGGAGCGGGGTCATGGGTCTCTCTACAATAAAGCAATCTCCCAGAGCCCTGAAAAGGGTTTTCTAGTAGCCTACTGCGTCTGTACAAACAAGGAGGATTGACTGGTATCGCTTATTCCTTACACATGCTCTCCTCTGCAAAACCTGGCAGCATGCCGCACCACCCATGCATGTTTTTTATCGAGAGGCATGTTCACTGCTGTACTTCCCAGTGGATGATTTGTTTTCTGCTACTTTTTCAGTTGACCGAGTCTTTAACAGGAAAGTTTAACAATTTCCGAGTCATCAAGCTGATTTCTGTTTGTGATGAAACTCTGTTGAAATTATTTTAGGAACAGTCTTTACCTTAACTCTTTCTGAACTGAACTGAGGACATGGAGGTGAATTCTTTAGGAAGGACAGTATCAGATTTTTCTACATCACTGTCCTTGCTGGAACTACAGGTCCAAATCCTTCTTTATACAGGGGAAAAAAAGGCCTGAGACAAAAATCTCAACACTGCCACAGGACGTGCAGCTCTTCCTTCTGGCCATATTTTTATCTTGGGGAATAAACTTTTTATTTTCAAGTACATTATGTGCCATATTGAAGTAAGATAACATGAAAGGTCACCATTTGCATAAAATGTTTGTTCTGTTGATGAAATATTGACCCAGTTTCTCAAGATATCTGTGGCATATTTCCCCTCTTTTTCTGTTCAATTAATAATCAGTGGTGCTTGATCCCAAGAGACACTGAGCACCAAAGTAAAATGAGATTTCAGACACTTTGTCTTACACGTCATGCACTTAGGAGATTTCCTTGCCCTCCACTGTGCTCTGCTGAGGCTTGCAGCCCAAGCTCATAGATTTCTTTCTGACACGTTTAATCACTTAGAAAATATTTCAAAATTTTAGAGGCCAAAGAGTATGCTGTTCAGAGCTGAACGCTATGCACTGTCTCTCCTTAGCTGCTGCTCCCGTTGCGCATATCTCAGCGTAACATCTGTACTCGCAGCTGAGTAGGTGGCACGAGAACCGGGTAAGCAGCTTCATAAACATGTAATGCCCAGCCAGCAAGAATAATTCCTAATTCGGTTCCGGGTGTCTGATTTGTGAGGGCGCTGGCTTCCTCCGAGTTCAGTCAGGACCGCTCGGGCTCCTCCCTGGCCGCCGGTGACCCGATGCTACTTAATAGCCGCAAGTCAATCACTGAAGGAGTCACCTAACGCATCCTTCCGCCTCAGGGCTTCTGCACACAGACTTTCTTTCAGAGAAGCCCTGAAAGCTGGCACGCTGGTCACTGTACAGCATGCTACAGCATAACTCAACCGGAGCGTAAGCAGGATTCAGCCCAAAGATGTTTGCATGCTTTTCGGAGGAGCGCAAGGTCCACGTGCATGTGTAGCAGCTGTCTCCGGCAGATCTATTTAATAAACGATCTAACAGGCACGAGTTCGATATGATTTAAGCGTATCTGGAAAACAGGTCCTGAAGTAATGCATCGTTAGCCAGATACTTATGTGTGAACAGGATTTGCTCCTTAAAATACAGTATCTAACCTGAGAAAATACATAGAAGGTCGCTGCTGAGGGCGTATTCCATTCCTGTGCAAGGCACGGAACAGGACATGCCTGTCAGCGTGAAAAGATATAAGGCTATTCTTAAAGCGGGGTAAAATAGCAAGAAAACCGTGTTTCTAGTTAAGCCTTTCTTGATGAAAATAGAACTGTTTGTTACATGCTTCTAAGACAAAAGAACATTTTTTTCAGAGGACCTTTGTATTTA